GCGCAATTTGAAGGGTAATGGAAACGCGCCTACTGTCTGTGTTGCTCAGAGAGGCAAAACAGTTCTGCTGTGGCTTGTTTTGAAATGTTCGTTGTCAAAATACTGCAAAAAGAAGTGTCTAATCACTTAATACTAACTTATTGTTTATTGAACTGTTCATCAAATCAATATCACATGTGCAATCGTGCTGATATTTGGAGAAAAACCGTGTGACATTAACAATATCAGATGATATAAATATAAAAGACATAAAAGTTATACAGGGGCATTTTTGCCCCCTTATCTTGAACTTTGGGGGAAATGTAGGATAAATGTATCATGCAGTGAAAGCCTGAAATCTAAACTGTATATGTGCTTGCTCAGTAGTCTAACATAGGTCTACATCACGTAGTGTAGGCTGTGCATGCACTCTCTGGGTGTGTTTTTGTGTGGTTTTTGCAATATACTCGATAGTGTCATATCGTGTAAACAACAATTACGATATTATCCTAGACGATATATATCGCACACCCCTTTAGCATAGTATTCAATAAACGGTGATCTACAATTCAATTCTAAACACAGGCACTGTGTTGCACTTTTCAGTGGCAACACAACGCGAGCACACACGATCGATGTAGTCCGATACCGGAACAAACGATTCTTATTCTTGGTTCTTTTTAGTGAATCAAAAACAGTGCGACAGGTGTAGTTCGTTTGCAGAACGAAAATATGATCCGGTTCTTTTTAGTGAATCAAAATAACTTATTAATCACTCAGAGTGTTACTTAATAAGATTAAGTTAATCAATTTTCCTTGTTTTTCTTTCATTCAGTGGTGTTTTTTTAAATGAATGAAACATTATTTTAGTTTATAGAATGACTGATTATTGCATTAGAATGATTTCTTATATGTAGCCTAATATGTGTTCTGTTTACATCTGAAATGATCTCATTTTTCTAACCTAGCAACGGCGTGAGGGGTAAATGCAAATACGGAGGACACTTTTCCTTTTAGGATTTTGAGGACTCGGAGAATCGGAAGCGGAATCGTTGAACCCCTCTACGATTCTCATCCCTAGGTGTACGTGTTGCGTTACATAACCCCTGGTCTTAAAATGTCAGTTCACAGACTGCAGTTTGCGCTCACAAAATGTCATTCTTCGACCTTACCGCCATCCGCATAGGTCTCCGTGCCGTAACCATCCTGCAGTCCGTTATTCCAAGTGCCCTCGTACTTGGCACCGCTGGCCTGACTGATGCGCGTCCCGTATCTGCCTTTGAATCCGTGCGTCCACTCTCCCTTGTAGATCCAGTGTCCCTTGGTCTCCACACCTAGACCGTGACGCTTTCCTTGGGACCAATACCCCTCGTAAGTGTTTCCACTCGGCCAGGTATACACTCCCACCACCTCAAACCCATAATTCCAGGAACCGGAGAACTCTCCTTGTCCTTTAGGTCCGGTACAGATCCCGTGCCCGTGCGCTTTACCTCCTTCCCAGCCTCCACAATAAGCTCCGCCATCATCGAACTCAAAGCGACCTCCGCTCATCACGCTGAATGCAATTACCACTAACTTATCAAACTTTCAGATGTGACTTTAAAAATCAACAATAACGAAAGGCTCAATCTCTGTCAGGCGCTGTTAAATCCATCTGTCAAACTCCACAGATGCGTAAAATGGAGATAGGAGATCCTTTCCTTGAGTTGAACTTCTAGAATTGTCGTATATGCGCATAATTTGTTGATAAAGGTAAATCCTTAAATATGTAAAACATGAAATAAACGTGCTAAAGTATGAAGTTGAAATGACTTGGGAAAGGGAGGATTGTTTTTTTAGTTAGGCTACATGATATTGTTTCAGTTTGCAATGATATATTTAATCGAATTGTCGAGCCAGTGGTCTTTCATGGTTTTCAACCCCTCTTCCCTCTCCCTGCCTCCCCTCTTTGCACTTGGAGCTCCTGGATATGTTTTAGCAGTCCCAACAAGGCTACCAGATCCCAACACTGTTCCAAAAATACAGGCCAATCGCCCCTCAGCAGCCAGGCACTTTTAAAAGCGCTGCAAGATCACTTGCAGAATAGGGTTTGGGCTCAATGTCCATCCATATCAGGGGTCGGCGGAGTCCGTGTCTGTTATTTAAAGTGTGCATTTTCAAACTTAGATACTAGAAACTGTTGATGCAGTTGCTTCCCTTTGATTTATTTATTTTTTACAAGGTGCACTGGTTTACAAACGTTTTGAGAGTAGGCTAATAAAGACAGGAAGAAACGGAAAGAGAGAAAATGTTAATGTATCACACCGGCTAACGCCTCATACAGTAAACAGATCATCCTTGGGCCAAGTAATCATTAGAATTGGACCTTTTGGGTTTTGAGGAGTTCAGCTAAGTTTAGTAGAGTAACATCAGTCTAATAATGCAATAAAAATAGAAATGTTATGTTACATCTAAATTCATTTTATGTTATTCTGACTATCTATGCTCCATTTTTATTTATTTAATTAACCTTTATAATTTTTTTTTATTTTTCCTAGTACTTTTTAGTAGGCTACTTATGAAAAAATATAGCCTATATGTTAACTGGTATGATATTAAAGCTTTGTTGACGCTGAATCTATAAATAAATAAAAGTCTAGACACAGAACTTATTTCAAGCTGAAGTGAAATTAACCGTTTCCCAAAGAATCTGGTTTCTCTCTGGTAAAATGAACCCGCAGTCTTGCGCCTCAGTTGAGTGATTGTTGAACAGAGGCTAGCTTGCACTCACTGGATCATTATCCATGCTGATAAATGCTGACAGAGAAATCTGTATTAACTGCAGTTGATCTCACAGCAGAGAAATATGCGTGGAGAGAAGCAGCGCCCTCTGCTGGTTGCTGTGGGGTATTGCGGTGACCAGCCGTAGTTACAGCGATATTCAATCCTACTAAACCATTATTAAATAGAACAAACCACATCGATTGAGACAAGTGTTTCATAGTCGGTTTGTTTTGAATCTTTAATGCATTTATTGCGTCTTATTATTAATGTTTATTAAAATACATTAAAAAGCCACCCATACAGAAAAATACTCAAAGACACCTCTTATGTTATGGCATGTTTCAATTTGTTGTATTATTTGCAATTATTTAAAGTAAAAAGTCTAGATGTAACCATCCAGAGATTATACTGTAATAAAGGGGAAAAAACATAAAATTGCCATTCATACAGACAATTACTTGAATACACCTCTTCTGTGATGGGCATGATTTAATTTTCTGTATAATATTTAAATGTCTAGATGGTGTAAGCATCCAGAAATTATATAAATAAAAAAATAACAATAAAAAGCTTTTTTGTATTAAAAATACATTAAAATGTATATACATACATATATATATATATATATATATATATACAGTGGTGTAGTGGTGCCTGGAGAAGTGGGTATCATTTATGCCCCATGACGTGTTATAAACAGTGACGTGTAAAACTAGTCTTGTATATTTAGTTATATTTAGTTCACCCCAAAATGGGCCAGTAGTATTTGCACATTGTCACTTAACTTCTGCTGCTTGTCTTCACGGAGTACGGATCACCACTACACCACTGTGGGTATATATATATATATATATATATATATATATATTATAGACTATATTGTAATAAAGAAAATACATTATGTATTGTTTCATGTTTCAATTTTTTATAGGCTATTATTTGTAATTATTTAAAATAAAAAAATATGTCTAGATGATGTAACCATCCAGAGATATCTATATATATTTACATAATATATATTATTTATTGATTTACTTGTTTGATTGTTGATATTTTGTTAGCCACATCCATGTGGTGAAACAAACATGCATCCGTTTTGTTGTTATTTGACAAAATAAATACATGCATACATACATAAAATATATCACAAAGACATAGACTTTTTACTTTTAGACATGTTGGAGCCAATAAATCAACACTATTTATAGAAAATGGTAAACTTTTTTTTTTTCTCTTCAAAAATTTGTAAAACCAAAATTATAACAAATGGGACATTTATGCATTTTTAACTAGATATCCTTTCCATCTTTTCTGAAATCTGTATTTTGCATGCACCCTTCTACACTAGGGCTGTCAAAATGGCTGAAAAAACTAAATTCGAATTTTGTACTTAAATATGATCAAAATTCGAATTATATTCGAATTTAAAATGCATAATTTCAGTTAGGGTGAAGAAAAGCTTTTGGCTTCTCTCCTGAGGCCACAAGAGGGCGCATCATTCAAAGCATAAGCTAACATGACTATCTGCGAAAAAAAGTGCATAATGTTTAAAATAATGTTTAAAAACAAATTAGAATGAATTAAGTTGCTTAAACAACTATAAACAAAACAGCATCATGTGTGTATGCATAGTTTAATACAAAGGGCGGAAAGCCAATCACACAGAGTACATTTTTCATTTAAAAACATGAGATGCAGTGGGATGGGGAAAACCCCGCCATAAAGTCTCGACATGTGTTTTTTTCAAAGTTAAACTTGCATTAATTTTACATGGCTTTCTAAACATGCGGCTCTTTTGTGCGAGACGCGAGTGCAACAGTAATAGATGTCCGTCTAGAAAATGCGTGAAATATGCGTTCTGTGTGAACGGCTTGGTTTCGGTTTTTATGTAAAGATCTTCTCCGCATTGATGTTCTCTTTTTCCGCTATATTTTTAATATTTTCAACTGGATAGGCTAACAAAAACATTATAATGCAACGACACTTACATCGTCATCGCATCTTGTGCGCCGCTGATAAGGCTGCCTCCTTAACGCACACCTACAATTCGAATGCAACGTTTTTGCATTCGAATGTGGATTTTTATTTTAAATTCGACGAATATTCGAAATTCGAAAAAAAAAAATTTGACAGCCCTATTCTACACGTTTATCGTGGACAACCAGAGTACAGCAGCGGCTCGAAAGTGCGGCTGCCGATGGCGTGTCGATGATGCCCCTGTTCGTGGTGCTGAAATGAAATCCCCCCCGCGCTCTTCCTCCCTCCCTCCTTCCCCCTCTGTCCCTCCCTCTCTCTCTCCTTGCTCCTCTCTCACACGCACAAGATCCTCTGTCATGGCGTCTTCCAACAATGTTACTCCCACCAACTGTAGCTGGTGGCCCATATCAGCTAGGGACGAAGATGGCAAAATCACAGACGGAGAGGAGAGTCACGAGCCCACGATAGAACACAAGCCATTCTCCAAAGACAGGCTCGTTCTGTATCACTGGACTCAGTCCTTCAGCTCTCAAAAGGTAAGAAAAACACAGCATGAAAATGGTGGGTGAATCTATAGCTACTATGCAGTGGGACAAATAATGTCAGTCACATAATATAGCGCTTTCTCTGGATGGATGCGTGTTTAATTGGCCTTACCTGTCTGTTCTGTTGCGTCCTTTATGAAGACATTACGAACCCTCAGCAGAAGATGGAACATTTTGAATTGACTAACGTTAGCTTCAAGTCCACTGCAGCCAAACATCATCGATCACTTTTATGCATAGTGTCTATGAGATGGATTTGGGAGCAAATAAATAGCAGTTTATAACGGGTATAAGGCTATCATTGCAGAGTTGTGTGTTGCTTTGCTCTGGAGGATGATGGCACTCTAAATTATTCATTAAAATAAGGTAGCTTTGTGAAAAACAAACGGTGATTTCGTATTCTGCTGTCAATTGCTTCGTGCACATTTCAGCCAGTGTCACTCCACGAAAAAAATGCCTTTTGTGTACCTCATGAATGTGTAAATAATGACTTTAACAATTAAAACTGACACCAACTTTTACTATGTGTTATTATATCAGATAATCAGATATATTTCAGTGTTAATGTAAGTTTTGAATGGCCATATATATACAGTGCCTTGAAAAGGTTTTTGCCCCCTTCCTGTTTTTTTTATTTTTTGCATATTTGTCACACTTAAAAGATTCAGATCATCAAACCAATTTTAATATTACGCAAAGATAATGCAAGTAAATACAAAATGCAGTTTATATATAAGCATATGTGTGTGTGTGTGTGTGTGTTTAAATTCCTTGTAGTGTCATGACCTTGAGCACAAGGCTAGTAATGGCTAAATATGACGGTCAACCATCGCAATATTCCAGCGTATAGTAAAATTATAAAATATAGCGTGAGATGGCACAATGCAGTTTGTTAAAACTTCAAGACATTCAATGTCTGATAAAATGTTCTAATATGAAACTTATTGTAAAAATCATTGATTCATAATGGAAAAGGCCTCATTATTTGGTGGAATGACCTACCAGGTGTCGGGCTCATGTTTGTTGTGCGAGAGATGTTTCTCTCCACAGTCAGTCTGCTGCTGGTGTTTACATGATTTGAATGAATGTCACGTGTTACCTAAGCTAAACCTGACTCCTCACAACAATATTAAATTGACCAAAACATTGGTGAGGCTCAGATAGCAAAGTGATTCATTTTGCTGATTACAGTAGTTACAGACTTGCATGGAAAGCCGAGCAAAAAATCAATGACCTGCCAAAATCCATCTCCTATTTACTAACCAGCAGACTGAGAAATACAGTTAAACATGGCAAAGCTTGACACCATTGAGTGTGTTTTCTCTCGAAGGCTCCAGAGAAATTAGATTTTGATTGTTTTTTATAGAAATATTAATTGGAGAACATTTACTAGGGATGAGCATCAAAACAACCATGTCATCTCAGAAAATAGACTTTCAATTTCACTGTCATGTGCCTTTGTTTTGGTCATGAATTGTATTTAATCAATGTATCATCTTGATGAAGCTGTAAAAAGTAAAGTGGTAGAATCCAGACATCACACAGTTGTTATAAAGTGCCTCATCAAATGTGTCTATTGACTTTGCAACACCTCGCAGGCCTCGGCACAGTCAAAGCTGAATACGGGCTGACATTCAGTAGGCTTTGCTCAAGCTGCTGGCTGATGCTCTTGTCACTCATCAGTCAGAGCGCTTTGTTTTATCGACCGATTAATCTAGATTTGTAGTATGAGGCAGGATTGTATCTTTAATGCTAAAACTGGAAGAAAACAAGAGCTGTATTCCTGTTGTACATCAAGACTTAAAGCAAGCAGATATTCTCTTTAAGTAACTATATGAAACACAATGTGCTGTTTAGCTTCATGCCAAAGTGTCAGAGCTCAGAATGTTCTTACGTTGTATTTATAGTTACTATATGTATAGTTGCTATAGTTACTGCAGTAGACCTTAGAGAGTATGTATACAAACAGGCATTTTACACCTTGCATATTGAGTACAAAATGAATGAGAGTCACATTGGTTATTACTGCTTAGAGCCAAATTATGAACAAGAAGAAAATTAGACCTACAAGCCATAAAAATGTCTAACAGCTGGCCAGCCAGACATTTAATTAAAACTAGACTGCTTTCAAAGCTCACATTAACACTGAAATGGATTTTGCTTTTATTTTGCATTTTTTAGTTGAATACTTTTTTTTGTTACAGTTTATATTATCAGCAAAGTGTATTATTCAAAATTGAAAGCTGTACTGCTAATTAAAAAATTCCCTAGTAGCCTATAATGACAGCATTTTCTTTTAAAGTCCAAAACAGTGTAATTTTATATCATTGAGATACAATTAGAGTTTTCATTAAGTTTTAGTAATTTTGCTGTTTGTTTTTGTCATTTTAGTAGCTAGTTTTTTCTAAAATGATTTATGTCTGTATAGTTTTTTTTATTATTGTTTATTTCAGTTTTAGTTATTTTAGTACATCAAGTTAAGCTAAATTAAAATGAGAAGCTGAAATAAATTGCTTTTTTATATGTTATGTTATTTGAGTTAACATTTACTATATTTCAAGTAATGAAAATGCTATTGTTATTATTATTATGGTTTTAGTTTCAGTTTTAGTTAACTATAATAACCCTTGTCTAAAATCCTAAAGCTCTCAGAGTCTCGAAGCAGTATGATGTCATGATGATGTCGTGTGTGTGTGTGTGTGTGTGTGTGTGTGTGTGTTTTGTGGCAGGTGCGTCTGGTGATCAATGAGAAAGGGTTGCTGTGTGAAGAACGGGATGTCAGTCTGCCTCTCACTGAGCACAAGGAGCCTTGGTTTATGAGGCTCAACCTAGGGGAGGAAGTGCCGGTTTTCATCCATGGAGACACGATTGTCAGTGACTACAACCAAATCATTGATTATATAGAGACCAACTTTATCGGAGGTATGGCTGGCATTAATCAAACCACTTACTCATGACTATATAAATACACATTGCTTGTTACTGTACCAGTTCTTTGGTATGCATTATGATTTTTTAAATGTGTGTATATGTATATACAGTGGGTACGGAAAGTATTCAGACCCCCTTAAATTTTTCACTCTTTGTTATATTGCAGCCATTTGCTAAAATCATTTAAGTTAATTTTTTTTTCCTCATTAATGTACACACAGCACCCCATATTGACAGAAAAACACAGAATTGTTGACATTTTTGCAGATTTATTAAAAAAGGGGGTTGTGTGTGTACAATAATGAGGAAAAAAAATTAACTTAAATGATTTTAGCAAATGGCTGCAATATAACAAAGAGTGAAAAATTTAAGGGGGTCTGAATACTTTCCGTACCCACTGTATATATATATATATATTATTTTTTTTTTTAGTTCTAAGTAAAAAAAAAATAAAGGTAACACTTTATTTTAAGGACCAGTTCTCACTATTAACTAGTTGCTTATTAGCATGCATATTATTAGAATATTAGCATTTTATTAGTACTTATAAAGCACATATTAATGCCTTTTACTGCACGACCATATTTTAGATCCCTTAATCCTACCTCATACCTAAACTTAACAACTACCTAATTATTAATAAGCAGCAAATTAAGAGTTTGTTCAGGGAAAACTCTTAATAGTGAATATGTGTTCCCTATTCTAAAGTGTTACCTAAATAAATAATTAGTGCTGAATGGCAAATATGTACCAAGAATATGACAGAAAAAACAAACAAACTACTTTAAGAACAAATCAATTTCTTCTCTAACTAAATGTATGTGAAAACTTGTGAAATATACTTTTGGAAATTCTACAATCCCAAATTGAGCAATCATTATAATGTGTCCCTTATAACTGCTTTTAAAAGCAGAGCTCTGTCAATCATGCACTCTTCTTCTTGGCCTTTCTGTATGACTGTGTTCATTAAAAAAAAAAAAAAAAACATACATCATAATTATGTTTGCTTAAACACAGTTATATATACTATAAACGTTTTGAAGTAAATAAATAATTGCAGTATTATAATCAATAAAAAATCCCAATGAGGAAATACATTATTGCCACCATGGAATTCCTGTACTTACATTTTCTCAATCTACTGTAAAACTATGTTAGATCTTTATCATCTTTCTTTTTTTATGTTTCAAGACAACAGTGCAATTATATGTTGACATATCAAGGGTTATTATTGTAAACTGAAACTATTTCAGCTAGTTGCCAAGGCAACATTTCTCATTTTAATTTAGTTTAACTTGATGTACTAAAATAACTTAAACTGAAATAAAAAGTAATAAAAACTATATGTAAATATATAAAACACAAAAACTACTAAAAATGACAAAAACAACAAAATTACTAAAACTTTAAATAGAAATAATAAAAGCTATAATAGTATCTCAATGATACTAAAATAACACTGGCAACATCATGCCATAGAGTGTTAAAGATAACTACATTTGTTTCGTCTATAGCCCTGTGTAAGCAATACAAATGCTAAATCACAATCAGTGTAGTGCACTATATTTTCTCTCACACGGCTGCATGGCTGTGTGTCATTGTGAATGTCTTCACAGTTTGAGTGTGGGGGTGTTCTCACTGAAGCTCGTCTCTGATCCATGATCACTCACTCATTTAAGTGATAAGAGCTCAGCTGAGCATGATCACTCAAGCTCAATGAAAGAGATCGAAGCAGACACTTCTGAATTATCTTTTACATTTTAGAGTGTCCAGACACAAATTTATCAGTAATATAGTAATATATTTGATGCATCAATTTGATATGAAACTCAGTTTGCATTTTGAGCACTGACTATTGTTTCAATGTAAGATTTTCAGATTTTGATTTTGAAATGTGTGTATTTTTGGAGTTATCTGTTTTTGCAAATGAACTATATATTTATATATATATATATATATATATATATAAAGGAAATTGTTTAAAAATTAAGTTTAAACTAAGTCTGTATGTTAAATGGTTTAGGGCTAAAGTAAATGAAAAATGTAATATTTAGTGTTGGAAGCTGCACTGCGAACACTAAAATAAAGCGTAATTCATTCAGATGACTCTGAATGCATAAAAACCATGTAAACGTGTAAAAATGTGCTTGACAAATTTACTGTACGATTTGCTATTTCCTTGTGTTGTGAATGGTGTTAATGAGTTTATGTCCTAAAGAACAAATTGTGAAAATGCTTGTTCACATGTGTTATGCTACTGGCCAACCCAATTTACAATCGCCATCCACAGCTTTCATTTATATTTTATTATGAGACCTGGTAGATTTTCATGATGTTTGTGCCTTGGTGGTGTGCCAGGGTAACAGAGAGATGTTTGATCCTGTATTTATCGGATGAATTGATCATGGAGAGCTGCAGGTCAGCATGCCGGAGGTGCAGAGCAGTGTAAAATGGGATACCCCTTTGTACCATCCTCTATCTACCCCACACTATAGTCGTATTTTTTTACCAGATATGACAGCTTTTTCCACTGTTGTTGACACCAAATGTTTGACTAAATCTGACTTCAGTCCATAGATTGGTCACCAAGAGACAAAGACCATAGAGAAAAATACCATAATATCTTATAAAGCTGCTGTTAGCATTTCCATTCATCTTAACCCTGTAAAGCCAGACATATGAAATAGTTTTTAAAAATGGAACAGTTTATTGAACTTTGACAAAATCTAAAAAAAAAAGTCTTTAAAAAATTGTATATGTGTTTTTCTTGAGTACTATATCTGATACATCAGGCTTTTATGGCTCATATAGTGTGATATAGTGAGTATATGGAGCTCATACTTAAGGTGGAAAGAAAGTTGCTGATATTTATATGGCCAACAATTAAGATAAAATTTCGATATAAATCAGTGAGAACAGTATAACAGACTACTTGCATAAAATGCATATAAATATCAGTTGTCACTCTATATTTCCCAATAATATGTCTTAGTAAGATATTTAAATTCCTAGTTTTATGATTAAAGCACTGTACTTTAAATTGCGGGGGGAAATCATATAATGCAATGCAATACATTGATGACTGAGAGATGAACAAATAAACATTCATCAAAAGCTTGATGTATCATATTTGATATTCACATTTTAACATAATTTTTGTATGGATAATCAAGTAAACCTAAATTGCGTCAGTCCAGTAAGTTGTTCATTTGAAAATATGACTAACAATGTAAAGGTTTTTCTTAAGTTTACTTTATAAAAATCAGTAAAGATTTCACAGAAGATGTTTTTAGATTGATACTTGAAGGCCTTTTACTTGCTAAAAAATATGAACTATCAATCAGACAATGAACGGCATTTAGTAGAAACAGGTTTTTCAGCAAAGTTTTGATCATGTTAATAATTTAGAGGCCTTAGGAATTTGCATAACACATATGTGACCCTGGACCACAAAACCAGTCACAAGGGTCCATTTTTCGAAAATAAGCTGAATAAATAAGCTTTCCATTGATGTATGGTTTGTTAGGATAGGACAATATTTGGTCGAGATACAACTATTTGAAAATCTGGAATCTGAGGGTGCAAAAAAATCTAAATATTGAGGAAATCGTCTTTAAAGTTGTCCAAATGAAGTTCTTGGCAATGCATATTACTAATCAAAAATTAAGTTTTAATATATTTACGGTAGGAAATTTACAAAATATCTTCATGGAACATCTGAGGGTGCAAAAAAATCAAAATATTGAGAAAATCGCCTTTAAAGTTGTTCAAATAAAGTTTTTAGCAATGCATATTACTAATCAAAAATTACGTTTTAATATATTTACAGTAGGAAATTTACAAAATATCATCATGGAACATGATCTTTACTTAATATCCTAATGATTTATTTTGGCATAAAAGAAAAATCTATAATTTTGACCCGTACAATGTATTTTTGGCTATTGTTACAAATATACCCCAGCGACTTAAGACTGGTTTTGTGGTCCAGGGTCACATATGATACAGTAGGCTTTACAGGGTTAATATCAGTGGCTTGTGATTTAAATGTTGCAACAAAAAACACACTTTAGTTTTGACAATTCTTGTGTTTTGGTTATTTTGGGGTTTTGTGTGAAAGGTCAATCATTGACCAATTTGAAAATAAGGAGGCAAGCAGGTTAATTATATGACCACATCAGAAAAGTCACGTCTGTATTTATGTATATTCAAAAATCTTTGTGTGTGTTCTTTTTTTTCTTTCAGACACAGTAGCCCAGCTGATTCCAGATGAAGGAACTCCCATGTATGCAAGGGTACAGCAGTACCGTGAGCTGCTGGATGGGCTGCCTATGGATGCTTATACACACGGATGCATCCTGCACCCTGAACTCACAACCGACTCCATGATCCCAAAGTACGCCACTGCTGAAATACGTAGTAAGTGATGCTACAATTCAGTGCACCATTAATTCCTATTAAAGAACATTTTTCTTTGTGAAATGCACAGAGAGCAAAGCATCTGACTCTTTGCGAAACCTGCTTAGTCTGGGAATCCTTTTATTTCTCAGAAGTGAAGTTTTGAAGAAAATTGCTGTCTCAAATGTTGACAAAATGCTCTAATGCTGGCCTATTTATACAGAGTTCATCGAAAGTGGATCTACAGTACAACGCAAATAAAGCCAAAGAGTTGATCCAGCCAATGAGTTGCAGCTAAATAAATTATGTCACTGAAACCCGGCATAGTTGCAAATAAATCTCTTTTATAGTTCATGACTTGGAGGGAGTGTTTATGATAGGTGTTGTTTATCACAGTTACTGCTTTGCTTTTATGTGTAAAGTCTTATTAAATTCCTTAATTAGTTGTCAGGAACCTTAACAAATGAGCAGAAAACAGTGCCAGTTCACAATGTGCTGCTCGACAATGTTAAGTATAAACAACTCATCATGAAGGAACTCCTACAAAACCTGGATAACTTCTCGGATTTGGGGGTTTAGAATGTAAATATGTAACCAGACAAAAGCTCTTTTACTGAACTAGACAATTCGGTCTGATTTCTCTCAGGACATTTGGCCAATGCAGCATCTGAACTGATGAAGTTGGACCATGAAGAACCCCAGCTGACAGAACCATACCTCTCCAAGCAGAAAAAGCTCATGGTAAGTCAGCATACATGATGTGTATCACAGGATGGATACTGCTGAAATATGAGATTAAACTGCAGTCATATCTTAATATGAAAATGAAATAATAGATTGTACTTGTCTTGAATACTTTTTTTTTTTTTTTTGTAGGCGAAGATCTTGGACCATGACAATGTGAACTACCTGAAAAAAATTCTTGGTGAGCTGGCAATGGTGCTAGACCAAGTAGAGGCAGAGCTGGAAAAAAGAAAACTGGAATATCAAGGTAAGTTTTCTGTTCACTTAACAGTTAAAATAAATAACATTAAAATACTAATAAAATTAACTTATTTTTGGTTATTTTATTTAAACAAAACAACAAATGAAAACATAATCATAATAAAATAAAATAATCTTATTTAATAAACTTATTTAATTTATTTTTACTAAAAAAATAATAAAAGAAAATAATATAAATATTTTATAAATATAATAACCTTATTTTATATTGTTTTAATAAAATAAGATAAAATTAAATTAAAATAATTGCATTTTAATTATTAAAATCAAATCAAATACAAAATCTTTTTTAAAACATTATCTTTGATTAAATCTTGTGAATACTGCATTATTTTTATAGATTCATTTTGCCATGTAATTCCTGTAAATCATATGAATTCACATTTGTTAGTCTGTATTTTTTTCACATTATGAATATTAGCTATGATACATTTTTTTTATATACAGTTGTAGTTTTATTAATATTTTGAATTTGTGTTTATTTTATATTTTCCTTTTTTAATTCGAATTTTAGGTAAAGTTTTAGTAATATTTTTTTTTTGTAATTTTATTAGTTTTTTAATGTCTGTACAGTTTTTATTTCCATTTAGTTATTTTAGTACATTACTAAATGAAAATGAGAAATGTTGCTTTTGCAACAGTTTTTTTTTCCTTTCCATATTTTATTTTATTTTAAGTAACAAAAGTTTTTTTTTTCTTCATGGTTTTAGTACGTCTGTTTTTGATCTTAAAGAATATCTACAAATTGTATCTCCGTTCTACACAGGTCAGAAGTGCGAATTATGGCTTTGTGGACCTACTTTTACACTAGCTGATATTTTTCTTGGAGCCACATTGCACAGGCTCAAGTTCTTGGGACTCTCAAAGAAATACTGGGAGGACGGGAGCCGGCCGAACCTGCAGTCGTTTTTTGAGCGTGTGCAGACGCGCTACGCTTTCCGCAAGGTGTTGGGGGACATCCACACGACCTTGCTCTCTGCAGTTCTACCCAATGCATTCCGAATGGTAAAAAAGAAGCCACCATCCTTCTTTGGCGCATCCTTCTTAATGGGCTCTCTCGGGGGGATGGGCTATTTTGCCTATTGGTTTTTAAAAAAGAAATACATGTAGTGAATGTGCTCTTGTAAGTGTTTTGTGTCTGTGTATCTGTGTGACGTTCGAACTTTTCGGTAACACTGTTTTACGAGAGCAGGAAAAACAAGACAATATACAGAGATTAACACTATTACTTACTTGGGTGAATAATTAAATAAATATATAATGAGAACATTCCAAGACTAGGAATTCTTCTTAACAGCGCCTTCTCTGGTAATGAAAGCCTTCATAATTTTTTTTTTTTTTTAGATTTACTGGTTTATTTTATTCATATTAGGCTTGCATACAGCATAACTATGTTGTGTTGTTATGTCCAGATTATAAACACTACACATTCTGCTAGTGCTGGGCGGTATACCGGTTCATACCGAATATGTTTATTTTTGCTGATATGAATTTTTAAAATACCGCAATACAGTCGCTTAAACAACGTTCGGAACGCGACACTGTTTGAAAGCGTCCCTTTTCACTGTTGCACTGTGGTGAGGGAACAGCTGTATGTGTTACTAAGCGTGAAAGTTCCGAAACTGAAGCTGTAGAACTAATAGAACGTGATGACACAGAAGAACTCATCCACAATATCCACATTGACCGCCACAAATATCCACCGCCCCCTGCCAGCAGCTCCCGCGTCTCACACACACGAGCGCGACTTTAGCACTAGATTTAGCAACTTTCAGACCCTTTTAGCGGCTTTTTTCCATGGAATATTCATACTGACAAACCTAGCGACTTTTTTGGATAAACCTTAGCTATGGTTCAGTTGGAAGATTTCGCCAGTGCTGTCCCGCGAACGCGAGGTCTGACTTTCCCGGAGAAGTGTCACCTCTCTCGGCGTCTGTTCTGTGCAGTGAGCGGCAGAGAAGCAGTGCATTCAGTTGGCCACCGCAGCCGATTCGTCAATAAATGAGTACAAAACAGCGTTTCCAAGCACCTGTCGCTTACAGATTGTTTGGAATTATAAATATGAGCGTAGTTCGTCTATTAATATCACATGCACTTTTTTGTTTGTTGTTTTTTTTAGTTTGTTACTCAGATGCAGGCAGTGCGCTGCATGAGACAAAACAGTAATATAGCCAAAACAACCACATAGCCGCTCTTTAGTGTTAGATGCATGTTGATTTTATCAGACGATGCCGCGATTATAAATGAGAGTGACTCCTGCTTAACATGTATTCAAAGGGGTCGTGTTTAGTCACTATTTCGTGTGGTATTTTTTGACAATATTCACTCATCATGACAGTAAAATAGGGCATTCTAAGTCAATATACTGCAGTATTGCCTCTCTCAATCAGTAGAAAATATGGTTAACACCCGGTCATGCATGAAAAAAAAATACCTTCATGTACCGTGAAACCGGTATAATTTTGAAAAATACCGTGATATACATTTTTGGTCATACCGCCCAGCACTACATTCTGCCATTTAGGACACTTGTAGGTTAGGTCAGTTATATGGTACAGCACAATGGCCAAGCCAACTTTAAAGCCCAAAATAATGTTTATTAATCAACCCTGAATTCTTAAACATTCATATTTTGTATTATCAGCAATTGAGGGGTTTCCAAACACTTTGCATTTCTAATTTTAAGAAACTCCGCATCCACATCGACATCTAGTCATTCACTTTTTAGTGCAGATCACAGCTGAAACACTGTTCATTAGCAGAATGCAACACATCGCAGTTAGCATGACAATTTTCTGGTCTGAAACTATTTGCTTCGGCATTCGGTGAGAAGAATCAGTGATTGCAAACATTTTACAGGCCTACATTTTCAGAATATTACACGTTACCAAGAATGCAAAAACCAAAAACACTGAAGAGAACAGAATGTTCCTCATAAGACTGCCAATCTGAGCATTTTCTTTCCTATTTAACTGTATTTTTTCTTTTTGTTTAATCACTAGCAAAGTCCTCAAAAGTCTACTGAGTCACATTATGAGTAAAGTTCTTGAAATAGAGGTGGTATAGAAATGTGAATGTGAAGTTCCAGTTCTGAGCGTAAAAGATAATGCGACCTTTAATATGAACGCAAACACACCTTGACATTCAATAGAAAAACTACTTGTAATAAAAATCAAATGATCATTTAAACTAGTATATCCATTTTAAGCATGCCACTGTTTAATTGAATGGGTTCATAACCAAAGAAAATGATAGGTTTTTCTTTCTTTGTAAGTTTTCCAGTAATGTTCACTTGTACATTAAACTCAACTTGACTTAGAATAAACTGTGAGAGACCATTAAATGTTTGCCATGCAGTAAACACAAGAATATACCTGAATTATATACATTGTATGAGAGATCTATACCACCTCACACACAAGCCATATACAACTGTGAAGATGCATTAATACTCTATGATTAAATTTTATGTACTGCTGTTAGTTATTTTCATTACTATAACTACAACAAATGTACAGTACAATGTCTGCGATTAATATCTCAGCACGTTGAGTCTCACATAGAAATGTACTTAATCTGGAATGTTTGTTATAAATTGCGATAAGTGGTGATCCCTACTCTGAAACGGAATGACTGGAAGTTAAATTAATACATGAGAAATACTGTATATTGATGTCTGTGGTCATTCACAATAGATTTTTTTATTTTGTAATTTTTATTTTTATATTTTTTAAAAATACATTTATTTACAGTGCTTTCTAAGATGTTTGTTCACAAGCCTTAATTTGTTCAGTTGCCATTGATTTCAATAAATGAAAATGCTTACATTAACCTCTTTGTATGGTCTGTGTGCAGCACAAGCTATAGATGATAGTCTAATTTTTTTAAATATTTTTTAAAATAAGAAATACATTGCACACTGCGCTTAACCCCAGGTTACCGTCATTCTAAACAACACTCTTGTTGCGTTCTGGTCTTGTTGCGTTTTGGTCATTTTAACCCAGAGAGGATATTCTTGTTCTCAAAAATGCTAGTTAATGTTATCGCATTGGACAAAAACTCGCTGACTTTGCTCACAAAGGGTAAAACAACTCCCAACTCCCATGTGAACATTTTTGTACTTTTTTAAAAAAGTTGTTCACATTGTTACATTAGCAGGTGTTCCTGGTAAAAAAAAAAAAAAATGCCCTGGCTACAAAATATCGCTTGTATATCTTTCATTATGTTATGTTATTACTAAATATTGAATTCAATCTTTTTATCAACTTGTTTTCTTTCAATTAGCATAGGATTTGTTTTTCTTTTTGGAACTGATTGATCGTAGGCCTCACTGATCTGACCTTATGCACCTCAATATTTTTGGAGCCAAAATTATCCACAAAAAATGCTTTTGTTTTTACTCAAAAACTGAGAAGAATAAGCTCAGATCAATGAGTCCTCTGATCAATCAGTTCTAAAAAGAAATACAAAACCTGTTCTAATTCAAACAAAAAGTCGACAAAAAAGATTAAATCCAAGATTTACATTCCTATTAAGCATAAAATCAAACATCTGTTCTTGCTTTTCTGGCTGGATGGCTGATTTGATAAAATAAATAAATAAAAGTAAAAACATTTGCAGATTTTAAAGAGTTTATTGATTCTATTAACATTGCAATCGGAAGAAAAAAATTAAACCATGTACTTTATGATTTGTTTGACCCATAAATACAATTATTACAATTATATACAATTAACTAAGACAACATTCATAAAGAAAAACAAAGCATATAAAACCAAAGTCCTCCTATTGAAATCCAGTGTCCGTCTTTCTACAACTCAGATTTCTCCCTCTAATTTGGTCCCCTCTAGTCTCAGGTCGGCATCATTCCTGCCCAAGGTGAAAAGGCTGACGATAGCAAGCAGAGCGGCCAGCATCGTCCCCGCACATCCTGCAAACATGTGTCTGGTGCCACTGCCAGCCTCCCCCGCACCGGACCCAGACACCTCCCCGTGAAGAGCCAGCAGCCCCAGACAAGCCAAGAGGTGAAGAGGCAAACGAAACCACGCCAGCACGGCGGCTCTGCGCTCCATGGGAACCACTCGGCCTTGGAGAAAACTCACCGCCGGGAAATACCATAAAGCCCGCAGGCTAGTTCGAGCAGAAGGAAGGCGAGCAGAGATTCCCTCGGCCGGGGCTGGCCGGGCACAGTGGAGAATGTCAGCATGAAGAAGGAGAAGAAAGCTAGCAGAACAGCTAGGCAGAGCAGGTGACCAGGTTGGAGTCGATACGGGGCCGACGTGGCCAGCCGGAAAAGTGTGGAACCAGCCATGCTGGCCGCCATCAGACAGGAAAACACAATTCCTAATGGCGGGCCGTGTGGGTCCAGTACAGGAGTCCAAAGAAATACAAAAATATAGAGCACGCTTTCGAAAAGAGCCTGAACGCCACCTAAAAGCATAACACGGCGGTCCGACAGCAAGCAGCGCAGCCCGTCCAGACAGCTTCGCCAAACATGGACCCATGTTGACATTTGCAACTTGGGGGCGTTTAGAGGGTTGAGAAGGGGGCCATTTTTGTCTCCACTGGCACCCTCTTGTCTATCCTCCTGACCCCATTCGGACAGCACAAACCAGGCGCAGACAGCAAGGCTGGGGATCGCCAAGAGAAACGGAGCAACCGGTCCCAAACCAAGCCATTCGGCGAACAAGTTCGCCACCAGCCCGGCACCAACCGCCAGTCCGTGATTCCAATTTGCGACTTTACCGAAGGTAACAGGAATCCATTCTTTGGGAAAGTCATGGACGTCAACGTGACCGTGCACATACCAGGCCTCAAACACAGTGGTTAGCAAAGAGGTGGACAGGCCTCCTAAAACACGTCCGAGTATGAGCATGAAATATTCTTGTGACAGCTTGGTAAAGCAGCAGACAGAATAAGCCAGGCAGAAGAGGAGACACATCTGTCTCCGTCCCAGAAACTGCGGTAGCCAGCTGGCCACTGGGGCAAATAGCACTGAAGAAGCAAGGCCACATACGTACAGAATGGCGATCTGAGACTCCAGGAAGTTGTAATGTCGGTAGAGTTTATAAAGGTAAGGTCCCTGCAGCCAGTCTGCCCAGAGGGCCAGGAGATACGCCTTCAGAAAGAGCTTCTGGAACCGACGGAATGCCGGATTGGCGACGGCTGTCTGTATGGCCTGGGACGAGGTGAGACGGCGGGCTGTGATCTCTAAAGTCACGCACAGTCCCGTCAAGACTATAAATGCAAGGTATGCTGTCACAAACATGATGGACAAAAGGTGACTGAAGAAGTCCCAAATCCTAAATCAGCATCCTCGTACAGCTCTTGGTCCAGTGAAATTCATCTGCAAGATGGGAAAAAACATAAAGTATGAGAAATGGTGTAATGAGTGCATAATAGGAACTAAAGGTTATTCAAATGTTAAGAAGAATTGTTTTCTATCAAAAATGTCTTACCAAAAGTTACATTCTTCATAATGTGGCATTCAAAAAATATTAACTGCTGGATGAGCCCAATAGAGAAATCATCATTACAGACTGACAGGTTGACTTCTGAAATAAGCCACATAATCATTATCAATACATAGAAACAGACCAATAACACACACAATATATATATATATATATATATATATATAAATTAAAAACAATAATGCCATTTTTGAAATTCAACTGGACTTGTTAACTAAGCTTTAAACATCTGTAACTCTTGGGTTACGCGCTTTAAATACACATACCTTACTCTTAACATACTCCTTAAGGGTTTGAAAAGCCTCCGCTGAGTTTGGAGGATAACATGCATTTTTTATGTCATGATTTCAGATGATTTTGCAGCATAACAGCCTTCAATATTCGCCTACCTCCCCTACAACATCCGTGTGTGTTTCCGGGTTACTCAAACGTAATGACGCAAAGCTCACGAAAGACGCCTACGCTTAGCTTATGAATATTAATTACGTATGCCGGCGTTCACATAGTACCACTCTCTGATTGGTCACTAAGCAGGCTGACAATATGAATATTAATTAGGGTATGTACCAGGACGCTCCATCAAGTTTACCAAGCAACGCTGGATTAATCGTTTATTTTTGTTCTTATAAGTTTAGTTAAAAGCGTCAGATAAAAACCTGGAACTTTTTATCATGACTTCATCTTTTATTCAGTGCCTTTTATTTATAAGTATTATATTTCGGTTGTCCCAGACTTTTTAATCTTACAAAATAAAACCAGCCATTGTAAAATAATAATAAGAATTTTCTTGTAAAATAATAATAATAATAATATTTAACCACGACATTTTGATACTAATAAAGTTTTTTCAAAATGTACTTGGTTACCAAGGAAACAGCCGTATCCGTGAAGCACATGTTTGTGTCTTGAAATTAATGTGAAATATATGATAAAATTAGTGAAGAAAACTAAAATTAAGGTAAGAGTATACAGAACATTTATATCATGCACGGTTTAAAAACGTTATTTTGACAAAACATCAAAAAAAGTGTGAAAATATTGTATATTTTGTGTGTTTAGGGCACGTATATGCTAGCAATAAAATTAGCTTAAGCAAGAATTTGAAACATGTTGGAAATGTCATCCACCATGTCCACCGTCAAACACAATAATTTGAGATAAATGACATTGTGGAGCAAATAATGACGTTTCAAAAAAAATAAAAATGTAAATGTCAGAATAGCATGTGTATACACTTTTGGACATTGTTAGTTGACACATTAAACCAGTGGAAGAGTGAAAACTGTGTTTTTAGATAAACAAAAGAGCCCAGCATTGATTACACAAACATAAATGAAACGTAAGCATGACTACATTAATATTCATAGGTTTTGTCTTTGCCATATTTTGATTTTGAACTGCGCTACCGGAGCTTCCACACGATGTCACTATAACACCGTTTACTATGTAACGCGCTGGTTTGAATAATTATATCTCTCAGATTACCTAAAGCGCATCAGTGTTGTACAGCATCACGAAATATCCTAAAAAAAATACGTCAAAGTATAATAATTAAAACGAATTAATGTAATATGCCTACACGCATGAGTTTTAACTGATTCTGCATAGTAGCCTATGTTTTGCCAGTGTCCTGAATTAAAGTGGATTAACTGAGTCTGTTTGACAACCAAAACGTGACTGACAGTTTCAGGCCAGTTACAATTATTTCTACATCACTCTGAAAAGCTCGTCTGCTGAGCAAAGGCATGACAGTCTACATGGTTTGTCTACTTAGTTTACCTTTAGAAATGCATTGGTGTTGCAATGTATCATATATATTATTTTTCATTATTACTTTTGAGATTTAGTCGGCAAGCAATATATATACACCACAAGTCAAAAGTTTGGAATAATTCAGTTTTTCGTGTGTGTGCGTTTGAAAAATGTTTCTTGCTCACCAAGGTGCATTTATTTAATCAAAACCACAGTAAGTGTGAAATATATTTAAATAGAAAACAGCCGTTTTAATTTGCAATATTTCACATTTATTACTTGTTTTTTTTTTTTTTTACTATATTTCATCCAGTCTTGGTGAGCACAAGTTTTTTATATAATTTTATACATTAAAAAAACAGACATCAGAATAGATAATCTTGTATTTATATTGGTTCTACAGAAGATTTTTTTTTTACAAAATATACATTACCATATGATTGAATAACATTCATTTACCAGCCATAATAAGAATAGGCTCAGCTGATCAAATCAACCACATGGCAGCCCAAAATGCCTTTTTGACATGCTTTGTGATCTTAGTAAAGGCTGTAATGATACTGTGCTGGTGCCAGAAGTTCAGGGACTCTTTCTCACGACACACACAATGCTTACAAGGCACCAAACGCCCCATCACTGCGTATCCCTCTTTCTCTGAACAGGCAGTTAGATCAGTGTAAATGTACAATACTTTCAATAAGAAAACAACAGAAAACTACAAAACATAACATGCGTAGGGGAGAGTGCTGGTTTTGTATCCCTAGATTCAGATGTATTAATAAAGGAGAATGTGTGGAAATATACTTTGACATACTGTATTCTAACAAGTATGACAGTTTTATCCATTTTCAAAAGTGAAATGACATTTAAAATCTGTTTCTTTTCATTTTCAAAGAACTTAAATGGTAACTAGAGTTGTTGTAGATACAGTAAATCTTGTGTAATTAAATGTTACACACTAACACAGGTGACAAATTTTTCTTGTCTCAAACTGAAGTGTTAATGTGATGTGACTGTATACGTGATATCTATGGCTGATATACATGGTATTTCTGTCCCTTTCTCGAACACATAGGCACATTCACTCATGCAATTGGCTTTAAATGGTTACCTTTCTACTGTATACATGGTGTACTTGACTAAAGACTGTGTACTTCAATGTGCGGGCAGTACAGAGGAATGACCCGTTTTTGGTCTTCAAAAGTTCTGTGTAAGCTTATTTATGATGATATGACTGGTGCAACTTTCCCTTGGATAAATATAATCAACAATGCTCTCAAGGCGAGCTGAACAGAAGGGCAATGCATGTATGAAAATGATCCGTGAAAGCTTAAATGGAGATATAGTCTTGTTTAGAGCTTGCTGAGAGCCATCTGTTCATTGTGTTGCTCATTAACACACATAATAACAAATGGTTCCTGTGGGAACATGCTCCACATATCTTCTTCTAAATGAGCAGTCTTTCTCTTAACCAGGAAAGGTGTTCTCTGATTGGCCAGTCGTGGCCTTTGGTTGAGTTCCAGCTGCAGCGACCGATAGCTCAGGGATCGATACGGAAGGCCAGCAGCTTGTCGGAGTGAAGGTTGTTGAGGGTGTGCAGGTCTGGCAGGCGCAGGAGCAGTTTGGGAAAAAGAGAGTTGTCATCAGGGCGGCGGCGGGTGACTAAGGTGCGCAGCGCTCGGATGAGTCCTTCCTGTAACTGCTCCACAGCTACTGTATCCAAAATGCCAGAGCAATCTGTGGATGAATGAAGGACAATTTATTATCAAAAAACCAACAGAAACAAAATGTAAATAAATGATAAAGATTATGAATAAAAAATAAATAAATAAAAAAAATATATACATATATATATATTTATATTAGGTTTTTTTCCCCAAAATAAATATCCACTTTTCATATTGTACATTATAATTTTGTGATGCCTAAATTCACTTTTTTCAGCATTTAAAATTATTCATTTTTTGGTGATTGATAGTGTTTTATAGTTGAGTTTTTAGTGTTTTATGTTTGATTTAAAAATAATTTTATTTTAATTAAAAATAATTAAATAAATAAAAATGTGATTTAGTATATTATTAGTAAATGTATTTAATTTAGTATTTTTGGTCTCAGTGTTTTCTTTTTTTCTTCTTCATCATACAATGAAAGTCAGAGTTGTTTTGGGCCCCAGTGACTGTCATTGTATGTATAAAAACTATTGAAATATTCTCCAAAATATCTTCTTCTGTTTCTTGCAGAAGACAGATGTTTGTACTGACATGAAATTTGTGTTTAAACAGAGTTCTATTTGAGTTTTAAATTGATATCAACCATTTATCTGCGATTTATCAGTTAAATGCTAGAACATAAAAATAATCAGTTTATCAGCATCTATCAGAATTTTAATATTGCACTAATGATCACCCCTATTATAAATCATTAGCTTAATGTTAGGGGATTATTAAAATCTCCAACACTTAGCATGAGCAATACTAATAGTGATGCACACCTTAGCAAATAGCACTAATTAATCTGATTCCTGTGCTGCTCTCACCTGCAGAAACCAGCACCACAGCCATAAAGAGAGCCATCTCATCTGACTCCAGGCCCAGAGAGCTCAGCTTGGAACTGAACTCAAACATGGCATTCAGCAAGGAGCCCATGCCCAGACCCCTAAGGGTGACCAGCGGGTACGTCTGCCCATTCAGGAAAGTCACTGTTCTTTCCTTGTGGTTGAACAGTGAGCAAAACCTCACCATAAGCACCTGCAAACAGACAGCAAGATCAGATGGAGGCAAAAAAAATTGACCCAGGTGATGTATTTTTTTCGCTCTCAAAATACTCTCGCCATTTGTAGGTTGATGTCCCTAAGGGTGTTAACACTTTGACGCTATCTACACAATGCTGTGTTTGTTTTGAGTGATCTGACATGTCAAACTTTGGCTTAACCAGTGAGTTTGAGTTAGGCTGATTGGGAAATCTGTTTGGTTAAATGCTGCTAGTGACCTATAAATGACACGCTTTTATAATAGTACAGAAAGGAAAGTAAACTTCAGGAGAAATTCAAGGGTTATGTAAATAGTACCTGGAAAGTGCCTGCTTTGAGCAACATGACCTGATCATGCTGGCAAAGCTCCTGGAAGCCTGGAATGCCCTTCGCGAACTCGACCACTTCACGTACAGCCGGCGTGAAGCACCGTGAGAAAGACTCCCACACCTGCTGACTGGAGACGCCAGGTGCTGACACTGGGTATGCGTTCAGTGGACAGGCCTATGTGAGAGATGGTATATCATATTTTTATTAGCATGTATGCTTAACCCTCATGTTCTGTTTGGGTTATCGCATTGGATTAAAACTTACTGACTTTGCTCACACAGGGTAAAACAACTTCTTTCCCCAAAAAAAAAATTAATAGTAATAATCTTTGTACTTTTCTGGGATATTTTTCCCCACCTGGTTACACTTGTGATGTTCCTAATCAAAAATGACTGGCCTACAAAAAATAACTTTAAACTGAATTTATCGTTATGATATATTATTACCAAATATTGAATTCAGTCTTTTTGTCAACTTGTTTTCTGTCAATTAGCACAGGTTTTGTATTTCTTTTTGTACTGACTGATCTTAGTTTTTGAGTGAATATTGCCAAAATTTTCCACAAATAATGCTTTTTTTGAGATCAGTAAGGCCTGAGACCAATCAGTTCCAAAAAAAACAAAAAAAAAACTGTGCTAACTGTTGACAAAAAGATTGAATCCAAGATTTGGTGATAATATTGCACAATGAGAAATTTATAAGCAATTTTTAAAAGGCAGGTCCATTTTTGGCAGGGAACACCAAATTAGGTAAAGACTTTTAAGCCCAGTACAAGAGTAAATATACTGATCTATTCTCATATTTTGATTTTAAATTATAGATTTAAATGATAGAAACACTCTTATGACAAACTTGTAAAAATAAAGGTTCCAAAAGCAGCTTTTCGCAGCAATGCCATCCCTAAAGAACCTTTCAGTGATCAGATCTTGAAAGAACCATTATTTTCTTAATGTAAAAACATTGTAATAATCTAACAAACCTTCTTCCACTATAAAGAAACTTTTGTACAAAGTTTCCATGGATGTTAAAGGTTCTTCATGGAAACAAAGATGCCAATAAAAATAAACCTTTATTTTTAAGAGTGTATATATATCTTGAAACATTCCTCACCAGCACTTTGGAGCCAGCAGCCAACTTAAACGGACACGAGGCCTGGTTTTGGGACTCGCCAGCTGCATAGATGTTGTAATCGGCCTGAGTATGTTGTGAGGGCTGGCTAACGCTAGACTGGGAGTGATTTTGGCTGAATGAAGCAGCGTAGCTGTACCAATTATTGTCCACCAATGAGACCGGGCATTTGCTGTTGCTGGAAGCAACTGGGCAGCGAGGCGGGGCCGTGAAGCTTTCATGAGTAGTCGCGTGATACCCCACGAGAGGGTTCACATGAGGATAGTTGCTGTCCTGAGAAGGGCTGTTTTGAAAGGTGCTCGATCTACTGCTGGTGTTCATGTTGCCCGCACGCTTGCTAAGGTGGTCCTGTGTGTTTGTGAAGATGTCCTGGTAGGCTCGGGATAAGGCCTCTTTGGATTGGTTCTTGCTGGGGCTGGGAGGAGGTTCGTGTGGTGGGGAGGTTTCCATGCCCATGGTGGACGATTCGTTGAGGCTATTCATGTAGCTCTGCATCTCGTCCAAAAGCCGCTGTTTCTCTCGTTTTGGGATGCGGCCGAAACGCACAGCTAGGGGTCAGAGAGAGAAACAATTGGTTGACAACATGAACATTGCTTTCTTAATAAATTTATTTGTTATTATTATTATTGTCTGCTTTATCTGTACATGTTATTCTAAAGGCAAAATATTTGTAATGTTTAATGTTTTTCATTCAAAATGCAGTAATGTTTTTTTTAATAAAATTAAAAGCATATTCAAAACGTAATAATCACTTTAATGTAGCTTGCGCCAACAGTTGTACATGGAAGCAGCTCCGGGCGAATGACGTCAGATGTCGGCGTTGCGCATGCGCCGGTGAGTCTCGTGAAAACCAACGTTCGTTAACAGGAGCAAAGGAAGCAAAGTTTCCTTACTTTAGCAAAGGAAAACCAGTCTCCTCTTGGCTTATATCCTCTGACATTGCTTCCGCGTTCGTCACTTCTGAGCGGCACATGCGCAACGCTGACCTCATACGTCATCCTCCCGGAGCTGCTTCCGTGTACAACAGTGAGCGCAAACTAGATTTAAGTGATTATTACGTTTTGAATATAGATATTTTTCTTACAAAAACGCATCGATTCGCTACAGGAGGTTTTTGTTCACCCCCTGGAGCCGTGTGAGACACTTTTTATTATGAATGGGCGCTTTTTATTTAACTTCTTTTGGACTGATGCACTGCAACACCCGCTGACTGCCATTAAACAGCTTGAAAGATCAAAAACTATTTTTAATATAAGTCAGACTGGATTCGTCTGAAAGAAGAAAGTCATATACACCTAGGATGCCTTGAGGATGTGTAATTTATGGGCTAATTTTCATTTTTGGGTGAACTATCCCTTTAAGTCTGTCATTGTTCTCACACCATCATGTCATTCTAAAGCTATATGATTTTTACTTTCCTGAAACACACAGAATTGAAGAAACTGCTTTTGTCCATACAGTGAAGGTCAGTGGGATCCAAAACAATACTGAACACCACGCTTTTTCTTTATATGGACAAAAACTCTGAGAATTTTTTCAAAGTATCTTCTTTTATATCTCACAGAAGAAAGTAAGTCAGGGTGAGTAATTAATGATAGAATTTTCATTTGTGGGTGAAATATCTCTTTAAATGCATGGTGAATTTTCATTTTATATTGGCTTTAATATTACATTTTAGACTAAATAAATGCCTGGGATGCATTGAAGACAATTAATCTGAAAAGAAAAGGAGTCATAGTCAATGTTAAAAATACAAAATGTTGTGAAATTACTGCATTTTCTATGCAAATCACTGATGAAAAGATCCTGCCTGATCAGTAATCAAAATGTCCATGTCCCATTTCTTTTATAATAAAGCACATTGCAGCATCAGAAATAACCCTAGTGTGACAAAATAAATCAAATATTGTCTGAAAATTCCTTTGGAAGTGAAAACAAAAAACACAAAAATAGCACAGCTAATGTGTAGGAGACAACTTTGGTCGCTCTGGTGTAAAATATTGATTATCATTAAATGCGTTAATGTTGTTTTGGATGCTTTCGCATCTTTTACAAGGCCCTCGCTTTTTTCTCCATCACCACCCTCTCCTCTAAGTAAATCTGTCAGCTGTTGAATCTAAAAATAGCACCAATGCTACCATATGTTACCTCCCCCACTCTTCATCTCTCTCTCCGTCACTACCTCCCCTTCCTCTCTTCATCCCTATGCTACTCTCACTCCTCTCTGAAGCCGTAAGTAGGGCAGTGGGTCAAGCAGAACGTGATGACAATGCCACGGTAATTGGGAGAGAAACTAATGACTGTGGTAAGGAAAGGAGGGGTGAGGAGAAAAAAAGAGAGAGAAGAGAAGAGAGAAGAGAAGAGAGCACAATGTCATTTGGCAGATTGAGGTGGCAGTAGACAAAAGGTTTTATGGTACATGGGTTTACAAGATGAGAGCAGAAGGAAGGCAAAGAGCGGAGATGTTCCATATATCATATATGTCTCACAACACCTGCATCTGAGAAAATGAGATAAGCCAACGAAGGGATACATTTTTTTCGCTTTTCTGTAACTAACATGCAATGGTTGCATGCGTTACTCTTGCATTGCAAAGTCCACAACTGACTTGCCATTTACCAATCAGGGTTGTGTGCCATTCAAAACTGAACTGAAAATGCCTTTTAAATTGCAATTCAATTCCAGAATTTCAGCTTCATTTTTATTGCTTAGCAAACAGGATCCATAATTGGACTAAGAAATTGAATGTAGGGAAGCAGAATTAAAATTAATTCTAAATTGATATAGCTGTAATTTTTAACTAGAAAAGCAAAATAAACTTTGAATGTTGGTCTGACAGTGCCTTATTTTGTAAAAAAAAAAAAAGTTTTTAAAAGTTAAAAAAGCAGTTGTATGTTTATAGATAGATTTTTTTTCAATTGCAATTAAGTTAATTCCCCTTACTGTCATTCCAATTCACATTCCAATTCAATTTCCTGAATTTCAGCTCAGTCTTAATTAGTGTAGCAAACAGGATGCAGAATTGCACTTTGACTTTGAATGTAAGGCAGTAAAATTAACATGAACTGAAATTCAATAAAGTTCATATTACATATTTTTCTTCGAAAACTTCGAATGTTGGTTTAACAAAAGTTTATTTATTAGGTTTGTTTTAACAAAGTTTAACGTAACACTTCATTTCCTAGAATGCATTGCCAGTGTTGAGTTCCTTTCAAATGCAATTCAGTAAATTCCTCTTCCTTTCATTTCAATTAAAATTCCAATTCAACTTCCGGTGGTGTGTGGCCAGTTCAAATTCCAATAAATCAATTCTCAATTTCACTTAAACCTGATGAACCAGAATTCAGGTAAAATTCTCAGTATTAATCTGATATCAAGACTACGGTGCTTCATCCTGTGCAAACAATGTGACACACATGGCCCCAGAGCACTGCACTGATTACTAGTCTATCAAATAGCAAGTTCATAGCGGAAGTGAAACCATGCCTCCCCATCGTGTCAAACCAAACATCTGTTTGTATCACACGACCGAAATTAAACTAAAGACTGCAGTGAAGTGAGATGAAATCAGGGCCTCTACTTTATTGTGGTATTTGATGCAGTTACATGAGGTTTTCCTGTTTGTGCAAGAGAACCCGTCAGAGAAACAGGTTTCTAGGTTGTGGGCCCTAACAATTTCAGGAACCAGGGTTAAAATGACTGTTTACCTCCTCCACTTTGTACCCAATAGACTCATTTCTGTTAGTGCCCTTTTAGAACAACATCCAGTACAATATGCTATCATAGCCAACCTAACTTTCATGCAAATCCGCTGGCAACGCCGTGTGAAATGATGCTGAGAACCTGACGGAAGTCTTAAATAGGTCACAATGTACAAGTGTCAGTTTATTTTGCTAAATTTCCTCAAAAGTTCACTAGACAAGATTTATTGTTAATTTCAGTGTTATTCAGGGTTAAATCGCCGCCAAAGGCAATCGGATGAGGCATTGTTCTTCTGAAGAGTTCAGATGCCTGGCTTTTTCTGCATCCCTTGCTTAATTTTTGCTGCAGCACAACATTAATTGCTGAGGATGTTATAAGGGCACAAGCGTGGTAATCAAGTCGCCCGTGTTCCAATTTCTCAAAATAATTCTTGTATTTGCTGCAGTTTTCCAGATGACAGATAGCTTCAGGGACTGCGTGACTCCATCCCTCATAAATCATTGTCTCTAGAAGGGATTGGGAGGCAGAGCTTAGGGAACGTACGAGGGGGAAGGGTAAACCGATGGAGAGAAGGAGGTGAGAAAAAGAAGGGACCACAAAGGGCAAGCGAGAGACAGAAACGAGCGCACAGCCAAACTAAAAGAAACTTGCTCTCTTAAAAGATACCAGTGGTGCAAGACTAAAAGAGGAAAGTAGGTTGAGGGGGCGTGTGTGGTGCTTTGCCTGAAGAATGCTATGAAAGTACAACTTTTCACTATTTGTCATATGTCAGTGCCCTGATAACCTCCAAAAATTCTCACCGTCACGGGACATGCCAACAGACAGGCATTTTTTGAAGCGGCAGTGTTGGCAGCGGTTGCGGTTCATGCGCATTATCAGGCAGTTCTCGTTCTTCACGCACATCTTGTAGTTAATGTTCTGCTGAATGCTGCGGCGGAAAAAGCCCTGCAAATAACGAAAGACAATATGATAAACCACAATGATATGACAGAAAAGACTCATGCATGTTTGTTTTATCAGAGGCTTGTTCTGTCTTACCTTGCAGCCTTCACATGCATGGACACCATAGTGGAACCCTGATGCGATATCTCCACATACTTTACAAAGGAGCACCATGCCTCCAGTCTCTGCGCAGATAAAGATAGAAACAGAGAGAGAATGGGGTCAGGACGTACAAGAACACATGTCCTTAATATTGGGGACTCGTTATTCCTTTGTGAAAGAAGATGCTGACTTTGTGTGTTGCAGGTACTAAAAAGGGAACCCACTTACTGGTAAACGTGCCAGTGAATCCACAAGGCCTTTTACCAGCGATAGGATGGGAGTAGCTGTGCGGGTTTGAACCTGCAGTAGAGTTGTTGTAGATTTCAGGGAACTGAAATACCAGTTTTGGAGAAGGTGGCGTTCCCACACTTCCTTGCTGCTTGAGGGCCCCAATCTCAGTGAAGGTGACCTCCTCTGGGGAAGAGGGCTGGGAATGAGAAGACGGAGACTGGGTTTGATAGCCACTAGAGGGGCTTCCTGGGCTTGGACTGGCACTGCCATTGCTACCAGCGTAGAGTATCACACTCCCTGTAAAAATACAAAAGTATATGAAGCCTTTGACTGGGAAAAACATAAAAATGGTACTTTATTTTGTTAGTTCATTTCATTTCGATTACATATATTGTGTACTGTACAATAATATTAATTAACTTAAACTGTTAATGTTGCATTTTTGTAAGTCTTTAAACCACCTTAAGTTTTAACATGTTAAATCCCTAGTCAAACGTTAGTTAGGGTTCATGTGATGTGTCCCAGTTCGGTTTGTTGAACTGGCTCATTTGCAAATCAAATCTAATTTGCATTGGCATTAAACAATGCTACATTTAATTTACCTATCTAGACTGAAAGCCTTTTTGCATATCTTAATAAAATGTTATTTATTTAAACAGCATGTGAGATTGTTTATTTGTTGATAACTGTCATGCTATCAAGTCATATTTCCAATATATTTCCAGTATTCATTATTTCCTATTTGACTATTAGAGTAACATCCTTGTCGTTATACCATCAAATTCTAGGTTCACTACAAATTCCCTTGCTATCAGTTTATTAATCGGTTCTCGTATTTTCATGAATGTTTTGAAAAGAGACGTTCATTTAGTACAATTTTTTTTCAGTTTTCCTGGATCAACATCCTTGTTGGTCGTGGAACAAAGAGCTAAGTTCACAGGAAATTTTTTAGGTTTACAACCAGGATCAGGTGTTTCTACACCCTTGTTATTCAGCTATCATTTCCCTCTGATTTTAGGAATGAATTATAGGTTTAAGGGTAGGGATAGGGTTAGGTCTATGTTTTCGGGTAGTAATGTTGATTCAGGATCAACAAAAGATGTTGATCATCCAGGAACATGTATAACTTGGCAGCTGTTCTGAATTCAGCCAGTGGGTTTTTGACTCGAGATAAGCTCCGACCGATTCAGTCCGTTTTTGAGAATCGACTCAACCGATTAATCAAAAAGTTTCCGGTTCAAAAAAACTGCGGACAATACTACGGCGTACCTGTTTGTTTGTTTGTTTGCTATCTGTCAGGTTGTAGGGGCATTATATTCGTGATATTTAAGGGTGCTGCAAGCGATTAAGAGGGAGATGATGTAATGATCTAATCGATTGGGAGTGAGTTAGGTTTCCTCAGTCAGAATGACGGCTGCACAGCAACATAATGCGACGTTCCACATTTGGTGAAATAACCCAAGATGTTTTGTATGGTTTGGTTTAATAGCCACACGTTACTTTAAATGAAAGTATCGTCTTGTTTTAGTTCCATTCCCCCACAGGTTTCTCTTTCTCTCCCTTTAGGCTTCTGCTTCACATCCTCTCCGGTCATGCGCTCAGGATGAGCTGAGAGACGGTCTCACGTGTTCGCGAGCTCTCCCGCCTCTCTTTTCCAATAATAGACCTGGCATAGTGCCCCAGCCAAACTACACAACACCTGACCGCCGCCTCACATTGATTCCTGACACCGTTCATATTTAAACCAAATCCGCAGTCTCGTGTAAACAGCTGCAACAATGGCGAGTCGCGAGCATCAAACGCATACAAAAGGGGGCGCACGCCGGAGGTTGCCTTGTCGGCTTTGCGATAATGTTACGGTTCCCACGCAGATGCGTTTCCTGTGAGAGAGGGGCAACGAGGAGTCACGTTTTGGTAGAATGTGCACCGTGGCTTTCAGTTTGGCTTTTTAAACAACCCGAGGACACAGTCGGTCAGATCTGGGCCAAGAGAATGCGATTTAAAGCCGCAGTGTCCAAAACGTTTCGGGAATCACTTGCACATTGGTGCTTTAACAATGCAATGCAGTAGTGGCTTTCATCGGGCAAACTAACTTATTAATGATATTTTACTAAGTAAAATGGTTCTTGCTTGTGGAAACAAGTTGATCTTGCAGTTTTCACACTATTTAAGTATTTGGTTGCTACTGTCAAGCGTCGATGTCTCTATATGTTATGAATCAAAGACGTTTGACCCTTTTCAGTCCACATCTTAGGGGGGTTTTCCTAACAATTTTGTCACCTTCAAAAATATTCGGTCACAAAAAAAAAAAAAACACCTGTGTCTCCAACATTCTGCATGATTTGAGGTATCATTGTACACTCCTAGAAAAGCTGTCACTTTGGCAGTACCCTTTAAAAGGTACTAATATGTACATTTTATGAACTAATATGTAATCTCTAATATGCAACATTTAGGGGTAAATAAGGTACAAAGGTGTACCTTTTCAAAGGGTACCATCCCAGTGACAGCTTTTGTACCTTTTTCAGAGAGCGTAGTACGAGTTATATAACAAATTGTGTACAATTTTGAATAATCTAACCCTAAATGCCCTAGCAAACACCATAACAAATATATTGATCCACACACTCTAAAAAATGTCAAATAACTTTGAGTCAAATATGGACCAACCCAACTTTTGGGTTAAAAATTTAATTGAAAAATTTAACCCAACAGCTGGGTTAGTCCATATTTGACCCAAAGTTGGGTTGAAACAACCCAGAATTTTTTTGAGTGCACTGACACAAACCTACACTCAAAACAACCCAACCGCTGGGTCAAAACAACCCAATAGCTGGGTTTGTCCCTTTTTAACCCAGCATTTTTTAGAGTGTAGAGAGCATGGGATAGTTGACCCAAAAATAAAAATTATGTGAACATTTTGTCAACCTCATGTCATTGCAAGTACACATGAGTATCTTTCTTGTGTGGAACACAAAAGGAGTTATCTAACACAATGTCCAAGCTGCTTTTATGAAAGTCAGTAATGACCATGGCTGTTTCTGTTTTCCATCCACTTTCATTGTATGTCACTGATTGTTAAATATCTCGGCATGATGATGAGTAAATGATAACAAATGTTGTTTTTAGGTGAAGTGCCTTTAATACTGTGTAGTGTTTATGAGCAATGACATAGGCTAAATATTTCCTTAATACTGTCCTTCAGTGTGTGTTTTGGAACTTGCAACCCTTCTGTGGTAAACAAGTTCAAACTGCCAGCAAATATCTGTCTTGCTCCTTTGCATGTGTTTTCACATGCTGCACACGGTATTTATTTAGCTCAAGTGTTTTTGTGATCCCTTCACTGGCACGTGCAGCGGGACTTTTTGTTGACATAGGATGTTACAGCCTTGTGATAGCGAGCCCTACCTGAGGTGTAACTCAGCCCTGCCCAGCTTACAAACCCCACCCACATACACAGAAATACTCACACTCACACAGAGGTTAAAGAGAGAAATGACATTATGGATAACAGGACATGCCCGTTATTAAACCAAAGCATAGTGTCTGGGGCGCAGCTGTTTTTAGCACCAGTTTCACATGATTGCAAACCAGTCTAAGGCTTTAATTAGATATTAATCTAAAATAGGTAGGTGCGATATTATTTTGTCTTTGTCCTGCCCTTCGCGAAAATAACCAGTTTGTAATATGAGGGGACAATACAGCAAAGATAATACAGTTTCTACAAGCTAAATGAGGCGCCGGCCGTGCACATGTCATTGCAGGCCAGTATAAATTAAGGTCAGTGGAAACACCAGCATTAATTGAAGAATCAGCAGGTCTCTTTGTGAGCTTAGGCAACCCATGCAAACACTAATCTGCTAGTGAGCAAAGGCAGAAACGTGAGGACTTTGCAGGGACAATTATTCCCTCCTCCCTGGTCTCAAACACTGGCATGGTCTCCCTTCCTCCCTCCCTTGAGGAAAATAGCTGAAACACTCTGCCTTGCATGACTGCAGTTTCTTATAGTACGTTTGCCTTGATATACGCCATCTTAACATTTCTGCATTTGTGTGGGTAGGGGATGCAAGAGTTGTGCATATTGCAATTGTGTATGTAAAATTATATATATATAAAAAAAAAATACTTTCACTTTTTAAAACTTGTTTTAGAACAAGCATGACATTTGCTTACTAGGAGATGTGCTCACTTATCTAGGAATATTATAGATAAAATGGGTTAATACAGATAGAACTGCCATTCTAACAGTGAGGGCGGGGGCGTGGAAATCACGCGCCGCACGCGGCTGAAAGAGCGCATGCACGTGAGGACTATTGTAGGCGCTAGGGATGCGTTTAGTGAAGATACGCGCGCGCTGCGCTTCCACCAGTAAAGCTAAATCCTCGCACCTCTCTTATAATCGAAAAGCGCTATAAAATAGAGCAAGCGGCTATATAGAATGAATGGGTGTGGGAGGGGGTGGGAGGGGTGGATGGTCCGTTACCCTGCATAAATCGCTTCTGGAACTTCTCATTCACCTCGTATGAACTCACTGGCGTTAACAGAGTATAGGCTATATTAAATGTGTGATGTGTATTTAAAACCCTTGGAACGTGTTACAGAGTTCCATAAACGTCACAGCATTTGTTTTTCACCAATAACGAAAATAAAGGAGACCATATAATACATAGTCAATAGTCACAGTTTCACGGTTTTCTAAAGCATCTGAAGTCAGTAGGTTAGTAAACCAAACCATACTTGCCATAGTTTTGCCTAAGAGATAAAATAAATAAATAAAACTAGAGTACATGCTCTAGTTCTTTTGAAGATGCAAGTTGATTCTATTTCATCTGATCTAAACCTTAAAATGACTTATGTAGTTGGGGGTCGATTTGGGTAATATTTTTGACTTTTTAAATGAAAACTGTTTAATTAGATGTTACCATATGAGAGTTGGTGTTTTTTCAATGTATGCTTCAGACACGGGTCACGACGAGGCGTTCCCCATATATATATATATATATATATAATAGAGAGAGAGAGAGAGAGTTCATATCCAACATGCAGCTTTTAGAAAGAACATGCATGGAATATATTAAAGTTTTAGAACAATGCATTGTGCATCTAGTTTAATTAGAAAACACAAAACACTGCACATAAATTTACTTAATTATGATCTCAGCATTTGTATAAAATGCACTCTCTCTATCTCTACACACACGGTCGCCGTGTTCAGCCTGTTGGGTCATTTTATTGGGTTATATATATATATATATATATATAATATATTTGTATTTTTCATATTCCCAGTTTTAATACTGTACATTCAAATATGTTAAAATATTTTCAAATATATTTGAATGTATGTAAGATTGTATAGACTTATAATATCAAACTTTTCATTTTGGTTTTTGGACATAACATAAAAACAGTTGGTATCAGTCAAAATTGCAATATTGTTGCATCCCTAGAACTCCATGTGAGCTGGATCTAAAGTCACACGTTTGAGATGATGTAGTGTGTTTACTTGTTAAACGTTACAGAAAATCTGCTTCCTTGTTTCCTGTTGTCTACCACTTAAAGGTCATGTGTTCGAATGTTATTATTTCCCTGTCTTTAACGACTTTATGCAGCATGTTATTGTGCCTCGTATTTGTTTTACAGGCTTTCTGTCAAACACAGAGTTGAGAGGGTGAACCAGATACGAGACAATGTTTCCATCACCTGTTCCGGAACGTGACTGCAGCTTTTGTAAACGAATCAGCTGTCAATTAACCTTGAAGTGGACTTGGTTGACTGAGCCAGCATGTAATTGGCCCTTAGCTAACCTTTGTAATGAACCACTACCCAAATCAGCTTAACCGGTTAACCTCCTTGGATGAAGGCTAGTGCACACTTGAGTAAAGTTAAATTATTACAAACTTCATGAAATAAATGAAAAACTAATGCAACTTTAGTGCATTAGTACCCATGTTCCCCAAGAGCTCACCAACTTTCCCAACTTAGTGTTGGTAGGACAGTGAACAATGTCTCTTGAGTCTATTGCTTTTCATTTTCATTTTCATTACAGTTGCATGAAGTTTGTTTTGAATATCTCATGTGATTAATGGCCATACTCTAGTTTACACTAGTAAAGTGTGCTGATATGTCAGAGCCTAGTTTGACAGCACACTTATCTCTAGCTTGGACCATACATACACGTGAGTTTGTTTTCATGGCTAGTAGCAGGAAGTTGTTAGTGTACATGCGTGGTTTCTAGGCAGACTCCATGAAAGCAATTACACAGGGTTTATGACAGCAGTTACTCTAAGTATGATAATGTTTATCACCATCATTTATGTGTTTCACACATTGGACTAGACTGATACTATATTTAGATGTACTTTGTAGTCTTTATGCTGCACTGATGATGAGTCTGCCCAGCGCAATCATCAAAGCATGCCAATGCTTTCATGACACCTGCTTAGATCATAACTGCAAACCAGTGTGTATCATGTAATTCAGTGCAACACAGTAAAATGTCTTTGTTATGAGTAAATTTCATATGCTACTTGCAGCTTTTAGAATGAACATGTCTGGAATAAGTTTTAGAACCATAAGCATCTAAATACAGTTTAATTAGAAAACACAAAACTCTGCACATAAATTTACTTAATTATGATCTCAGCTTTGAATCAACTGCACAGTGATTATGAGTATTGTTCCATTTATTAAGAAGTGGAACAATATCACCAGTACCACTGCCACCAATAAAAATATGAATAATAATAGTAATCATAATAATATGAAACCTGCCCCAAACTACAAAGCTTTTAGAATAAGCATCCTCAGGTTTTACAGCATTATCTGTTAATTAAATTGTGCATTTAAACACCATCTAATCAGAAAACACATTTATATAACCTAAAATTGCACTGAATTATGAGTTCAGCATTTACATGAAATGTCGGGTTGATTACACTAAACATGATTAGTTATATTTATATTTTGAGGTATTAAGCACAATCACGTGGACTAATACCAACAATGTTATTTTTATGAATAATAATAATAATAATAATAGTGCAGTATATCAGCAATAATAATACATTATTAAAAATAATAATTGTAAGTAAATAAATAATAATTATAATTGTAGAACTTACCAGGACTGCTGTCCATCCTTGATATGTTTTTCAAGATCCTCTGTCTTCAGAATTATTATCTTCAAGAAAGTCTGTGTGTCAGTATGTTAAAGTCTGGTGAACACAGGTATAAAAGTCACGAAAAGCCTGTGCATACAGTGAGCAGTCCAAAGAAGGCAGACAGTATCTCGCGCACAGAGCATTTGACAGCGGAGCCAAACAGTCGGTAAAAAATACAGTTGGTCACAGGTGTGCAGATGCACCTTCCGCGCGCGGCTACCTGTACTCTGCTCTTGATCTAGTATGAAGGACGCATTAGGAATGCTGGGTGATGGTGTCTCGCGTCTGCCCGTTCATTGCCATCAGCATCTCTGTGGGACTGTCATACTCCACTTTCACTCTTAGCCACGCACACGCCCTTCCACACCCACATCAATCACGTTTTCAGGTGACTGGCAAATGTGACGGGATTTAGGGGAGCCGTCAACCTCTGTTGTTCTCTTTGGCGGGGATTTATCTCACTCTAACGTGCCCCATGATCTCCTGGCTTTCCCTTTCCTCTTGATTCAAGCGTGCATTTTCATTGGCGGGTGTGTAAGCACAGAGCTGAGTTGGATGCGCTTATTCGAGCACGATAAGTGCTGGTAAAGCCACGCTGCATGTGCCCTCTGCATGTGTCCTACTGACACACATTTTATGCTAAACACAGCGTGAGACTAGACGACATGAGAGGCTTGCACATGGACAGCAGGCGGGGCTCTGCGTGACTGCTGCCGCGCGCTTTAAAAAAAATCTCTTCCAGTGTGAATGATGCATAGAGTCATGGCATAAACAAGTGCATGAAAAAAACACTTGAGCTGTATGTATTATACAGTATTATGATATATATATTAAAAAAATTAAAAGATAACACACAATATTAATATCAAATCATTGTTTTTGGACATGTTCAATCAATAATTTGAATAAATTACCACATTTAGGGGAGATCCGGGTGATTTGAGCCTGTGGGGAAGTTGAGCCACCCCTTGTTTCTAGACAACCTTAAACAAAATTGGTGATGTGACCACAAATATATGAAGAGTTATCCATTTTACTCACCCTGTGATTGAGAGAGGCCCATCCAATAATTGGTAATTCAATTTAAGTTCAAAAAAATGTTTTTTGCTGCAGTGATTTTTTTTATGTTCAAGGACAAATATCACACGCGTTTGTGCTTTAGGAGGTTATAATATGAGGTTATAATGTTAGCATGATGTTAGCTCTAAACTGCTGGATGATAGAAGTTTGTTAAAATGGTAGGAATGGGGTAATTTTAGCCAAAAGTCCTGGGGTAAGTTGAGCCAGTGGGTCACCCTTTCTTATGATTATAAAGTATTATTTTACTGAAATTCTACATTATACTTCATTAATTTTAACCCAGCGTCTTAAATCAGGTAGAGAAAAACCCTGGATGGATGGTCAGTCCATCACAAGGCTCACGCATACATTTTAAGAAGTCGTTTTTATTGAATTTCTTTTCCTTTGATGTAGCATGAGGTGAAAATGTTCAGTTTTACTTCAGCATAATCAATGGCACAGTTTAATTCCTTGTGGCTCAACTTGCCCTCTCCCTAGGCTCAATTTACTCCGCACTGGGGGCAAGTTGAGCCAAGAGACCACTTTTTTTTGGAAAGCCATATTTTGAAAGCAATTCATTTTAGATCCAAAGTGATTATTCCCAAGGATGCACAACATCCTGAAATTTATATACATATTTAAGTTGGACCCATTACTGTCATGTGCTCACTTAAAACACACCATAAGTAAAAACTGGCTCAACTCACCCCTCTCTCGCCGTATAGCTTTTTAAACAAAAGTGACAACTTGCCCCAATAAGATCTGACAAAATTCTCTTATATGATCGTTGTATAGTGGATTCTTGGGGGGCTTTCAGTTAGATAATTGAGATGCTCTTGTGGCAACTTCTCTGTGTGACAACTAGCCCCGGTCATCTCTCTCTTTATATGTGTATGTATATATATACACACATAAGTTTGAGTGATTTTTTTTCTTTTTCTTTTTTAAAAGTTTCTTAGTAGTTGGTTTTGTTTTAATGCAAGCATGTGCTTGTGTTGCTGTGATTAGGTTTTCTTGGAAAATGATTTGTAAATAGCCCATTTAAACTGAAAGAAGGGCAAAACAGCGTCCTCTTTTGGTCAATAAACGCACATCGCTGTTTTTCTGTACTTGAATTAAAATTGTATTAATGCTAATTGTCTTTAGTTGATCATGAAAACTTTCATAATTTTAAAACTAAATATAGAAAATTATAATGTGATAAGATTTATTATTATTGTTGTTGTTGTTTAATAAATTACATCTCTGTGGAAAATTGCTAGCTTCTCATAGGGTGGGCCACAATTAAAGGGATAGTTCACCCAAAAATGAAAATTACGCCATAATTTAGTCACCCTCAAGCTATCCTAGGTGTATATGACTTTCTTATTTCAGATGAATACAATCAGAGTTATATTTAAAAAATGTCCTGGCTCTTTCAAGCTTTATAATATGGCAGTAAATGGTGGTCAAGATTTTGAAGCCCATAAAAGTGCATCCATCCATCATAAAAAAAGTACTCAACACGGCTCCGGGGGATTAATAAAGGCCTTCTGATGCAAAGTGATGTGTTTGTGTAAGAAAAATATCCATATTTAAAACTTCATAAACCGTAATCTCTAGCTTCCTCTGACTGTCGTACATGCATTCACTAGAGAGAGGCGTTCCAGCAGATGACGTAGGATGTAGGGGTAGCGTAAGCTCCGGTGACAATATGCTAGTCTTGCGAGAACCAAGTTTTGTTTACAGCAAAGGAAAACCAGTCTCCTCTTGGCCAACATTTTTCTTTACAAATCATCGTTTTGTACTTCTAATTCATGACCGGTGTTTTGTTTTGCTCGCTCCTCCGCGCTTCTGTGTTCGTCACTTCTCACTGGAGCTTACACTACGCTTATGTCCTACGACATCCGCTGGAACGCCACCCTCGTGATTGCGCATACGACAGTTAGAGATTACGGTTTTTAAAGTTTTGAATATGGATATTTTTCTTACACAAATGCATCACTTCGCTTCAGAAGGCCTTTATTTACCCCCCAGAGCCGTGTTGAGTACTTTTTTACATGGATTGATGCACTTTTATGGGCTTCAAAATCTCGACCACCATTCACTGCCATTATAAAGCTTGAAAGAGCCAGGACATTTTTTAATATAACTCCGATTGTATTCGTCTGGAAGAAGAAAGTCATATAAACCTTGGATGGCTTGAGGGAGAGTAAATCATGAGGTAATTTTCATTTTTGGGTGAACTATCCCTTTAAAAGTGCTTTGCCACTGTGCTATTGTGGTGGTTTAAAAAAAAAAAAACATTAGAAATATTAATATGAAATATATTAATAACACAGTTTTATTTGACAAAATACAATATAGCCTAGTTTTATTTGGCATAAAATATATTATATTTCGTGAAATATAATCATTAATTCCTTTAAATGGTTGAAAAGCCTAAACCTCGTATGAAATGTGTGTGTTGTCTTGCAATTGGAATATGTATTGACCATAACCTTGATATTTAGTTGGCCAGTGCTTTATAAAGTGTAGCAATAACTCTTATACACTGTAAAGTTTTCTAAACTAGAGTTGGTCTGTGCTACTTGTTTTACTTACAGTATAGTTAAAAATAGTTTGTTAACAGCAAAAAAACACAGTATTCTCATTAATAGTGCATAATAATATTGACAACTTAATACTTATGAAAGTGTTCTTGTTTATAGCGCTTTCTTACACACTGACTGAACTTGAGGAATAGTGATGGCTTTATGTTGTACTTCCAATGTTGACCACTAGATGTAGCTTTAATGCAAGAAGTGGCTCTTAAACTCTGCATCTTAATTTAGCATTAGGCCACACAAATGGATCAAACCTTCTATTCTATTTTTCTTCAGTCCTTAATATATCATATTCCCATCTCTCCATTAATAAAATATGCCTGTAAATGTGAAAGTAAAAGCAGTGTAACTGGCAACAGGAGAGGCTAAAATATGCTTCTACGTTATAATATCCAAACCATGCAACATATCATAAAACCTCCATTCAAGGCCGTTATTTGGACTTTGAGAAGAAGCTCTGTCAAAGTCAGCCATGAACATTCTAGCTTGCATTTCTTTTTTTCTGAATCCATAAAAAAAGCTTGATTACAGCTTGTGCGCTTGACACGTTGATTGAGATGATGCATTTCGAACAAGATAGAAATAATCAGAAGAAAATGTGGCGCCTTCTGGAAACCCTGTTTCTGTGGTGTTTTGACAGTTGCCAGGGTTAATTGGCTGTGTTAAATTTGGAGCTCTGTTCCACAGCTATAAAACCATGACTATGGGCAACTCACGCACAGAGGAACATGTTATGGCAGGGCATGTCGATAATTACAGAGGGAGAGCAGCAGTGTTTGGGAACTGAACAGGGGCTGCTGCCAAAGCGGAACACAGTAGAAACACCTTGTGCCTCGGGCTAGGCAGGCAGCCATCAGTGTCTGTCATCTTTCTGTTGCACCACCAACACTTACCTGCTCAAACTTTTTCACTCTTTTATTGAAAGATCACTGTATGTGAAGTCATGCCAGATTCTCTGAGGCTGATGAGCAATTTAACAAGCTTATACCAAGCTCCCTGTTAGGCAAAGGGCACTAGTATGGTGAAGAACATATATAGTGGAAAGTTTAGATGTGACTTTTAAAATGCGTTAAAAAGTGCAACAATTTTGCCATGCAAGCAAAAAATAAAAAATAAATTTTTTTTTATTGGAGTACATTTTACAAGAAAATATTATTTAGTCTTTCTACTTCAAAATTTAGCATTACATCAGTTGCTCACCAATGGATTCTCTGCAGTGAATGGGTGCTGTCAGAATGAGGCACACCATAAAAATAGAGATACACCATATGTCAGTACCATATTGGTGGAGTTTTATTTTAATTTTTAAAAATGTTTAGTAGGGCATATTTTTTTATCTTATCTTATATTTTGTTATCTTTACATGTATCTGCATCACTCAGAAGTTTATTATTACTCAGTCATATAAAAATGGAAAAAAAAAAATTTGTGTTGAAAGTATTTCAAGTGCTTTTCAAATATTTGCTGACACATTTTGTCCACATTCTGACTGTTACAACTATTTGGAAATTAACCTAATGCAACCCACTTTGCATCTACATGTAAACACAATGTCAGAAAATAATCACAATAATCCACAAGTAATCTACACAACTCCAATCCATCAGTTATTTTCTTGTCAAAAAAGTTGCATGTTTGTAAGAAACAAATCCATCATTAAGACGTGTTTAACTTCAAACTGTTGCTTCCAGCTAAAATATGAGTCCTCACTCAATATTGCTTTCTCCACTGAAAAAGTAATCTTTTCTGAATCAGGAGAGAAATATGCACAGATCAAGCACTGTTTACAAGCAAAAACGGTCCAAAAAGTTCTAAACAAATATGTCAGTGGATTTGATGTGAGAGGACAACATGAATGTTTCACTGAAGGAAGCATAATAATGGATTATGGCCTCTTGGACAATTTAAAGTTAAAACGTCTTGATGCATTTGATTTTTTAAAACATGCAGCTTTTCACTTCACAAGACATTAATTGATGGACTGGAGTCATGTGGATTACTTGTGGATTATTGTGATGTTTTTATCAGCTGTTTGGAATTTCATTCTGAAGGCACCCATTCACTTCAGAGTATCCCTTGGTGAGCAAGTGATGTAAAGCTAAATTTCTCCAAATCTGAAGAAATCTGTAGATGTCATCTACATCTTGGATGGCCTGAGGGACAGTAGATTTTTAGCGAAGGTTCATTTTTGGGCATATATTGCTTTAATTCAATTAGTTACTAGGCATTTCTTCGTAGGCTAATTATTTGCCAAATGTACTATCAAGTTCTGAGTGAACATTGTTTCAAAGTCATTTTTTTCACTGTACAATGGCAGTTTTATTTGCGAAGGAGAAGGTATTGAGAAGGGGACCTTTCCTCTCGAGCACAAAGATTTGCCGCAATTACAGGATTGCTTCCATATGTGGATCAGGCAGCTTCTCCCTCTGCCCCCTCCAGCCCCTCTCTCCTTCTTCTCTTTCTCCACGTTCTCTCTCTCTCTGTCTTTTAGTGACTTCCTTCCCCGACTTCTATCTGTTTTTAGCCGTACCATATATTTCCGCCATTGCTTTCTTTCCCTTAGCGCCTTTTTGAAAAGGCTACCCTTTA